GGAGGCAGGAGACTCTCTTGAGCCCAGGAGTTGGAGGTTGCTGTGAGCTGTGATGCCATGGCACTCTACCCAGGGCAACAGCTTGAGGCTCTGTCTCAAACAAAAAGAAGTTTGGCTTCTCTTATTTGCCTAAATGATCATTTAAGGAATGCCTATTTTGATCTTAGAAATACAGGAAAACAGGAAGAATCGTCCTGGGATGGGTAACTGGAGACTGTCCTAAGGACCACCACCTAAGGACCTGACCCCAGTTGCCTGTGATCTCAAGCTAGAGGAAGAAGGCAGATGCATTAAAAGCTTTGCCATCTCTTAGCGATTCCTTTTTCTGTCCAGAAAGACATTGCTTCAGCTGGATTTTGAAAGAACTGAAGATTCTTAACAGGAGAAATCAAAGGCAAGGGCATTCTACATAGCAGGACAACTCAAGCAAGAGTGTGGGTAAAGGGCTGTGTGGTAAGAAAGCGTTTGGCTGTAGTGTAGCGGGAGCTATGCAACAGAGGGTTAGACAGGTGACCCAGAGGAAAGAATGGAGAGGCCTTGATCACCAGGATTGAGACCTGCCAAGTTACTAATGGGGAAGGAGGGTCAGAGAGGGGAGGTGGTCTGATCCAAGATCACACAATAGGTTGGTCTGAGTCTAGGGCCACACTCTCAGGTGACAGAAATGGGGAGTGTTAAAATGAAGACTGTTCTACTTGGGGTGTGATATTATGACAGAAGGTAGTGGCTGGGGTTGGTGCTGTCTTTAGTATTCCTTTTTTTTTTTTGAGACAGAGCCTCAAACTGTCACCCTGGGTAGAGTGCTATGGCATCACAGCTCACAGCAACTTCTAACTCCTGGGCTCAAGTGATTCTTCTGCCTCTACCTCCCAAGTAGCTGGTACTACAGGTGCCCGCCACAATGCCTGGCTATTTTTTGGTTGCAGCCATCACTGTTGTTTGGCAGGCCTGGGCTGGATTTGAACCCCTCTACCTATTCTGTTTGAGTGGAAATGCATCTGAGTAACATAAGGGAGGCCTTATTTGCTGTACTTTTTCAAGTACACTGAGTGGGGACTCACATAAAATTCTAAAGATGTAATGTCAATCTGAGATGTAAGGCACCAGCTCAGGTGTATGGGGCTGGCGCCTTAGCCGCTTGAGCCACAGGTGGTGAGCCCCTTCTTTTTTTTTAAATTTATTTTATTTTTTTAGACAAAGTCTCACTATGTTGCCCTGGATAGAGTGTTATGGCATCATAGCTTACAGCAACCTCAAACTCTTGGGCTTAAGCGATTATCTTGCTTCAGCCTCCCAAGTAGATGGGACTACAGGCATCTGCCACAATGTCCAGCTTCTTTTTTTTTTTTTTTTCAGTTTTTGGCCAGGGCTGGGTTTGAACCCACAACCTCTGGCATATGGGGCCAGTGCCCTACTCCTTTGAGCCACAGGCACCACTCTGGCTATTTTTTTGTTGCAATTGTCATTGTTGTTTAGGTGGCCTGGGCTGGGTTCAAACCCGCCAGCCTTGGTGTATTTGGCCAACGCTATAACCATTGTGCGACAGGCACCAAGCCAGTATTCCTTTCTTCTTCAGAGTTGAAAGTTGAATAAACAGGAGAACATGAGGTACCTATCATAGGCTAAGGTTGACTGCTCTCACAGATGAAGTTTCCCAACTGGAAGTCCATAGCCTTGCACTTGGCTTCTCTTGCTTGTATCTAGCATTATAATTCTACCTCTTCTGTTTGAGTGGAAATGCATCTGAGTGACATAAGGGAGGCCTTATTTGCTGTACTTTTTCAAGTACACTGAGTGAGGACTCATAAAATTATAATGATGTAATGCCAAGCAAAATCCTTGAGTCACACACTAAGTCCCATGGTCAGAAAGGCATGAAGGGCTGCAGATTGCTCACATGAGCTTAGATGCTCATTAGGATGTCCTGCCCTTAGACAGTTAATTCTCACTTTCCCCCCAAGTGTGTATAGTTGAAGTTGCATTATATATATATGTGTGTGTGTGTGTGTGTGTGTGACAAGACTCTTGTAAATAATTTGCAGACTTTGGTACTTCAACTATTAGTACCAAGTTAACAGGGGACTCACTTCTCAACTGATCGTAACATCAATGGTCAAAACAGATACATTACATACCCACTGTCATCTCTTGTATACCTATTGTGTGATAGGCATTTTTAGGTATGATCTTATACCTCAGGATAATCGCGTAGTGACTTGTCTGAGGTTCTAAGAAGGCTTGAGAGTGATCTGGCTTTTGTACCAGGTAGGACTCAGATCAAAGTCTGCATCCACAGGGCCAGGTTTAGGAGGAAGGGGCCTGGTTTCCACTGTTCAACTCCAGAATCAGTAACTCTGGAACTGTAACCTAGGTGCTCTAAAGGCAAGACTGCCACTGGAGGGGAATGCCCATAGTCCCAGCTCAGTTCCTCTTCCATGGTATAGCCATTGGGATGATGATTGTCAGTAGAAAAGAGAAGGAGGCTGCTGTTCATTTGAGCTAGAGGGGTCAGCAGCAGCCAGCTGCTCCCTTCGAGAGGCCCCTCTCTGTGTATAAGTTGCTCCCTTCCTGTCTCCTCCCAGACACAGGAAATTCTTTTCAAAATGTTCCCTTCTGTGAGATCTCATGCAGTCCTCCACCTCCGGTCCTCTAGGACTTATGGTTTCTCTTATATCACTGTTGTCCTTTGCTATTTGGAAGTGTCCTGTCAATTCCCAGAACATTTCCTTTCTTTTAAACCAAAAAAACCTGTCCTTTCACATCTGGTCTCAGACTTACCTCTGATCTCAGGTTTGCTAATCTGTCCCATGTGTGACACAGAGCAGGTACTCACAATTAAAGATGATGTGTCTCCTGTTCCCCCTGCCCACTCCTGATGTCTGGGCTACCCCATCAAAGCTTCAGGGAAAGAAGGAATGGGTGGTAGGTCTCTTGTTGGATTTTTTTCCAGGAAAGAGAGCTGGGAAGATGAGGCCTGGGTGGGGGAGGTTTGTAGAGCAGCAGGCTG